GTAATGAATGAATCAAATAGATTCGACTATTAAATTTCCCGATTGTCTGCAAGGTAAAGATGAAAGTCAATCCCAAGCAATATCAATATTAACAGTCGATTAAAATTTTCTCACCAAACTGAGGTTGAATTTAATGTTATTATTAGCACAAAAACAGAAGATGAAATAGATTTTGGGTGAAAATTTTCATCTAATCGAGAATAAAATTTCAATCAAATGTTAATAGAAAAAGGAAGTTTAATGATTAACTATTTTTCCGATGAAAACTGATAATGTGTACATTTCGTGATCGCCGAATGAAATTGGGTTAAGATGATCTTCAGACAATGTTGAGTTGGGTTAATGTGAACCTGAAAGTTGATCAATAACTAACCGTTGAAATTGAATTGAAAGGTGAAACCAAACGTAACTTGAAATGGAAAAAACAATTTCTATTTGACCATCAAAAAAGATGAAGAGACGAAAAAAGATTTAATTGTCAATTAATAAACATAAATTAATCATGATTAAAACTCGTAATGAATATAATTCCAGTGATTACATTTTTTTGCTATTCCAGATTTAATGATGATAACAGTTGTTACTCCTACTCGTTGCTGTATCAGATTCAACATTTCAATATAATTCAATATTCATTGAAATGTTATTTACCAATCAAGAGTGTGTTACTAACCATAACTTATCTTCATCATGTTATCAGGTTCATTATTCACCCTCCTTCGCCTCCTACTCATCATCATCGCCACCGGGGATTAACACGATTACAAGATTAACCATAAAGGAATCACTTTCACGCGAGTAAACACGATTTGTGTTATTTATTTAATTGTAATCATGTTTTCTTCCCATGAAATTATCATCGAGTAAAGCTCCAATGAATAGTCAACTAGACTATGAAAAATTATATTTAATTCATCATTTCTGTCTCTCGAATGGAAAGTGAAACTTTAATTTTGCCCAATTTACATCCTAATTGTGTTTGCCTTTTAATCATTATAAATTGTTTCTTATAATTAACTTTGAAGCTGTTGTTGGCTTAATCAACTTCGTGATGCTGTTATTAATAAACGTTAATCAAAATAGTAACTAGAAAATGTTTCTGAACACTTTGACTAATTTTTAAAGTTAACTGTTTCTTTTGCTCAAGTGTGGATTAATTGACAATTTATAATTGATGAACATCTTAAATTGAGATCCATCTACGCATTTTGAATTGTGTCCGATTAAATGTCAATTTAATTGCAATTAAAGCAATCAATGAAGCCAAGAAAACTATAAATGTTTTCATCAGCCTCAGGTTCAAGTTGGGTTTGACAATTAAATGATAAAGTCATCATTTGTAACCAACAATCAGTCAATTATCCCTTCATAATCCAATTAGTCTCACAATTTCATAATTATCTACATTTTACCAACTGGATTCGTTTTGAATTTGAAAAGATAATTTGCTAAATTATTGGTTAATTAAAGGGAATTGACTCTGATTCAGTTTGATCAGCCTTTTTTACTAACAAGACCTTCGATCAAATTTGATTTTCCAATCGAATCATGAAGGGAATTAAATATTGAAAGAAAAGTAATTCAAACGAGATTTAAGAGGCAAATCAACTTTAGGTAATCACATATTTATACTTAAATCGTTTCAACTCCGATTAATTTCAAAATTAACCATCTTCTTCAGTTATTATGTTAAATTGTCACAATAACTTGATGATGGTGGCTAAGCTTTAAGTCAATATTTCGGTGAAACTCAATCCTAATTTGATTTGTTTACCATTTTAATGTAAATAATCGGTATAGTGGACGTTCACCACACTAATTCTTGAGCAAAAAAAACAAGAACATGTTTTACAGCTCTTGACAAAAATAATCTTCCAGCTTTACTTCGAGATTATCAATTAGTTGTTTCAAATCGAAGCTTTGCATGAAACATATTTTGATCTAATTTTTAATAAAATTCATATGCTTTGAATATGCCATAAACAGATCATGAACACATGAAATCAATCAAGTATAAAGTATAAAGAGGGCAGAATAAGGCAATGATAATCACTTTTAGTTTTGAATTTGTTCACAATGGGGTTCATCAAAACAAAAAGAGGTGGAAAAAATCTTATTTTTGATAATTTTATACTGATAGTTATATCAATAACGCTATTCCATTAACTGAATACTTAGACCTTTGTACTGATATGATGGGGTTTGATTAACCCAAAAATTAAACTTTACTTTTTAACATTGACTCGTACTTAAAATTGAAAGAAAGTTAAAAGCTGAAGTTGAAGCTTTTGTTTACTCAAAGGATTAGTGTGGTGAACGGACAGGGAACCAAATAATCTGGTTCTGGTTCCAGTTTTTAGGAAATTATTCATTGGAATCAATTCTTACAATTTATCATATTAGGCTTATGAGACTCGGTTTTGAGCTATTTATCAATGGTTATTTGAAATTAAAAATAGCTGATGGAGCCTTTGGTTTGAATCTTCTTTAATGAGTTATATTACAATTATCAATCAAAATGTCATCAGGTTTCATGATAATTGGATTAAATGTAATCTGATGGAATGCTGTTTATCGTAAAACAAAAGGTGAAATAAATCACTTTAATATTCAGATGCTTTTCAAGGTTCAACTATTAACTTAATTGTCATCCTTAATTCCTCTCCTTGTTTTGCCCCGATTAAGTTGATCTTTCGTTTAATTATTTAACTGTTGATCACAAAGCGAGAAGCCTTGCCATTTTCAATCAAGTAATCATTGAGTAAGAAAATGAGCAACTTCACCTTACGGCATAATCAAGACACACACATGAACAAAAATGATGAGACTGATGATAATAATCAGGTTAATCTTCATCACCTACTTGCCCTCTCATTGAAACAATCAAATAAAGACGATGGTCAAGCAAGTAATGAAAAAGGCGAACAAGAAAAGGCGAAAAGATTCAATTGATTTCTTAGCTAATCTGTCAAACCTTTGATTGAAATCAAGTTGATTAATCAACTCATCACCCAACGATTACTCCAAATAAACAACAGAAACATGGTCCAAGTGATCAACCTTTCATCCCTTCCTTATCCTCATCAGTCAACCTGTATTTCATCAACACTATTGATCAAAATATAAACTTTGTTGCTGATGAATGAGGAAACAATGATTTATGTGAAGGAAACATGATGATGATGATTAGTGTTTCTTAATTTATTATGATAACATGTTTACTTGATGATGATACGTGATATGATTGATCAGATTGAGGTAAAAACTGTTTACTATTTCAGTTGTTTGCTTCTTCATAAATGGTCCAATGAATTGTTATTTAACCAGCAAAAAAGTGACTTAAATTGTTTCTGCCAACAATTATTATCTTTAAATCATATTCATTTCAAGGTTAACTGATGCATAAAATTGTCAGATAATATCAACAAAAGGTGAAATTCAAATTTAGTAACTTCCGATAATCGTTATCGACTATTCCGTTCATGGTTAACTGTTGGTGATATTAGCGTTACGAATGTTAATGTCTAGACAATTTGCTGTCTAATTGATGTTTTATCAATTGTTCAGTTTCTTTCAAGGAACTCAACAATTGGAAATGTTTGAGTAAACCGATAGTTCGGCTTGATTTTGATTCCTGATTAATAAGCATCAACAATAATGTGGATAAAGAAAGGGCAAAGTTGTTGAGAAATTGGTTTAATGAAATGGGTCAAAGGACTGACCAAACAAAAGAGTTGAAAAGGACCTCTTTTTTGAAGCCCATTAACACTTTGCCTTTTCTTTTCTTTCCTTTGGTGCCAAGAAAAGGTGCGATGAACAAGGAAACAAATGAACAGTATTTAGCAATTGAAAGGTAACATTCAAATCAACCAGCCAAATTAAAATGCTTTTTTGCTCTTCTTTTGATCATCAGAATAAATCAATGGCTCGCAATGACTCAATATTGTATTACCATTGATTCAAGTTGACCTACAAATCTGTTGCTCTCAAAGTCAATAAATGTCTTATTGATGCTAATAATCACAATAATTAACAATGATAAATAGAATCTCTTTTTACACCTTCTTTTGCTTAAAAGTTTCTTTAATATTTGATTACAATTAGATTGGATCAAATGGAAAATTGAATAGCTTTTCTCAAAATTTTACGTTTTCATGGTAATGAATGGCAATTAGTGCTGAAATGTTACCTCAAATGGTGCTTGTTAGAGTTAATTCAACAACATAATCACTATTTTGATCAGTTGAATTGCTTTTCAGAGTTTCTTCAATTCCATATCAAAATATTAATGATATCAATTCAAAATGGATCGCTGTTGATTAGCTTTGAAATGATCTTTGAACCAGTAGAAGCAACTCAAATTAACACCGATTTCACAAAAAAATATTACATCAAAATCATTTCTCTCATAAATTATGTGAAAAATTGACTAAAGGCGATTAGCCTCGAAGTTAGTCGAATCATTCAGTTTGGCTGCGTTATTTTTTGAATCTCAAAACAAATTATTTCGTCCGTTTACCAATAAATCATAATCAAATTAAATTCAACAGAAAAAACTTGTTCGATTCAATCAGCTACCTTTAGTCAATCTTTGCTTTGCAATAAGATCTTGAAGTAAAGTAAAACTTGATGAGCTTAAGATACTTGAGATAAATCCAGACTCAATCAGTCTCAATTTACTCCAAAACTTAAAACTTTGGGTAAATTAATTCCTGAGATGAACAGATTGTAAAAGAATTGGTGCAATTATTCACACAATTAGATGATAATAACAGCTAAAAAGCTAATAATTTGCAAAATTCATCATAATTAATCCAAATAGGGAATCCATTTATGCTGAACTGAAAGAGCCCAAGTTATTCATAGGCATTCAACGAAAGATAAAAATGATTGATCGCATAATTTCATCACTAAAATTGAATACATAACAAAAATAGATGAAACTTTTACTGCAATTGTAACAGAAAAGAGAAACAATTTTACAAGAATATCAAACTTACCTTTCAAAGGTAAACCATTTCTCATAGATGAGTTTGCAAATCAGTAAATCACTTTGAACAAATCCGAGAGAAAAAACAATGAAAATCCAATTTTTAAGTTGATTTGGTTGTTATTAATTCCGGTTGAATTTGAATGAAAAAATATGGCTCAACATTTACAAGGAAAAAACAGTTTGAGAAGTTGTTTTAGTTAATCAACAGTTGAGATGAAACTAAGGATGAAGATGGTGTGAGTGATGATAGTTTCAACTTAATGTGTGTTGTTCAGTTACCGAAGCTGAACTCAGCACAGAACTTGAGTCTCTCATGGATCAGTGAAAACGGGTGAGTTGAGTGAGAATAGGAAGAAAAAAAGAAGAAGATGAAGGTGAATCATGATCATCATCACATGTATAAAGTGGAAAGAAACTTGAAACTTCATCTTTTTCAGCATCAAAATTGTTACCATTTTATTTGTTCTTCTTTCTGTTACATTCCGAATCCAATTTTACCTTTTTCACAATTCTAATGATATCTCATTAAATCTGTGAATGAAAAGCAATTATTTTTCATAACATTTTCACTCAAAGACGTTTCAACTTAACATTCAAGTTTTGTAAAGAAATTTCCTTTCAAATTGTTCGCTTCAATTACAATTAGTTTGACAAATATCTTCCATTGATTAGCTTCTTTAATGAAAGTCAAATTTTGATGAATCAAATTAATTATGCTTTTGATTTTCTCTTCTCTTCAAAAGCTAATAACAATCAAAATTGCATTGATTATCACAATTTGTTGTTAACAATGTTGATCAAAAACAGTCGATTCCTTTTATAACGCATTTCGTGATTCAAATTGATCATGATTTTCCCTTGATATTGTGTTTAATATTCTTGATTATTTAGAGTAAATTTCTTTTTCCAAATTACCTTTTCTTACCTTTTTATTATCACCTTTTTGTTCAGTTTAAAATTGCATTTTAAGATGTAAAAATACGTTTTTATTAATCTTTTATTTCCATCATAAGTTTCATCCCTTTTGTATCAATGATTCAGTAGTAATGATTTTTGCTTAAAATTAGTAGCCAGCATTGACTGTTCAAGTTTGCATGAAAAGGTAAACAATTGAGTTGAACAATTAAATGTTTTTCCATCTTCTTTTTACTAATTTAATGGCTTGATCAACTTATCGTGATTAAAATTAAAACTGATTCTGATAGAGATCTACAGTTGAAATTTTTAGTTGAACGAGCTTCAAAAATGCTCATTAAAGCGATTGGAATAGGATAAAAGTAAATGGTCAACAATTTTTATTCTGTACAAGATAATTGTTCAGTTAATGATGGTTCGATTATATGTTTACAGAATTAGATTGTTATAATCAACCAATAACTAGTTATTGATGCAATAATTTGCTTACAAAGAATGTTGAGTGAACCTTCAGGTAATTCATAACTTACAGTTAGCCAAACTTCAATTCATTATCAATGGGTTAGAGTTAAAATGCGACTGATGATTCCTCCGGTCTCAAATTTGAGTTTAGGATTGTTCAAGAAGGTTTTATAGCAACTCACTATTATCAATTATGCCATCGTGCTAATCACTAGCACCATTGACCTTTCTTGAGATCTCTGCTTTCCTAAAAGAAGCAATATATTGGTTGACAGTGCCAGACAGAGAACCTCATCGTCCCGAATAATCCTTTTCGTTAAGTCTGGATCTTCTCCTAAACCTATCAAGAAATTTCTCTGTAAATTTCATCTCGTGCCTGGATCATCTTCGTTTAGATCAACAAGGTGGAAATGATAAAATTAAACTTGCAATCTTTAAAAAGAATCTATCAAGCTGTCAACTGGCTAACACAATCAGCTAGTATTGACAATAATCAACAAATTTAGTCTTCGCTTCAATAACTTCGCCATATTTGTATGCGAGTTTAATTAGAACGCTAGACAAACTTTTTATTAAGAGTTAATAGATTGAAATGTAGTGATCAAACGTAAATTTAACACAAATGTAAAAGAAAATCAACTACAGAGAATTACATTTTCAAGAATTTTATTATTGAAGATTGGTCTTTTTAGGAGTTACAAATCTAAAGATCGTGAACTGAAAAGCTACCCCGATTGAGATATCACTCTGGGTTTTTATGGGAGAGCTCATCGTGGTTTCCATACCCTTGTTGCCAAATGTTTGAGAAAAACAAAAGGATTAGGAAATGGTTAATACGGAAGGGTAAAGAAAGATAGTTAATCTGTTGACAGAGTATTATTTTGAAAGTTTATCTTGCGAGCTTATTAGGATCGTTCTTTAAGGATCGCTCTTCAAAGAGAGAATTTAGTGGAAGATACAGATGACCGACTGAAAATTGTGCACTGCAAAGAGCAAAAAACAAAGGTTAACAGCACTTTCGGTAGTCCAGTACAAAAACATGGTAGTATTATACTTACTTCGTGACATAATGGAGAGTTTTACGATGAACGAAAAAAATGAGATAGTCGAAATAGTCTTAAAGTTGACGATGAAAACAAAAATTAGAATAGCCAAATTACTGAGACAATTTAGAGTGCAAGCCTACGTGATTTTACGACAAGGGTCAGTCGTGTGATAAGAAGAAGAGTGTTAGGACAAGAGTCCGGGCCCTTAGCATTGAAATTTAAGCCGAAAGTAAATAGAACTTTGACTTTCCCTGGCTTAAGTTAACGAGAGACGTGATAAGAAGCAAAGAACGATAAAGTTGTTTACTAGAAAAGGAGTCATGAGAATGTTAGTCAAAGACAATGAAGGCAAGTGAGTAGCTCCCCTTTTACAAGTGTAAAAGCGACGAGGAAAAGTACCAGAGGAAAGAATATTGCTCTAAATATCATTGCTAATTTCAGCTTTAATAGGCTTTGTCAATTTTCGTTTTAATAATTTCTGCTGTTATTTCAGTAGATTTAATGATAAATAAATCTAACCGCAACATCAAAAATCGAATATTTTTTCTTATTTCAAAAGATATATTCAAAACCAAAGATAAGTCAAATGACGGAGAAGGTGATAATTGTTTTGCTGTTTTGATGAGATTTGCACTTTTAATACTCAAAATAAATGAGGATCCAATTGATGAGGATTATGACGAAAATGAACATGTAGCTGAAAAACGGATAATGCAAATGATGAAAAATGAATGAAAATGAGGCTGAGAATGAGGGAGTAATTTAAAATCTCCAATAAATATGGTCCTATTCAAAAAAATTTAATTCTAAAATATCGGAACTGAAAATGTCCAAAACAAAAACAATGAGTTAATCCACATTACACTCGAAGATAAGTGCCTTTTCTTATCATGGGAATTGATGATGCTGAATGGTGCTAGTCCTAGTCATATCCCGCCATGTAAGTCTAAACTGCCAATAAAATTTGAATTTATCATGTAGGATATTTTGAAATTGGTTTAAACTTCTTTGAACAAATCTTAATCGGATATTTTATGTTTGGATGTTTTCAGGTAGAATCGAGAATGGTCCGGAGATGTAGATGGAAGAGGGTAAAGAAGGCGATAATAATGATCAAAAATATGAAAATTCTAGATGCTATAAAAAACAAGTCATTTATTTCTTACGCGATCACAATACTGGAGAGAGGCAATGCAAAGAGGAAGCAAAAGCAATATATTCGCAATTTATGAATGGCTCTGGCCACAATTGTTCTTGTTCACTTTGTCAGGCACAATGCAAATTTATTAATAAGAAAAAACGCACAATCTACAACGTAGCAAACCCTTTTTCTCTTATGTTGATTGCCCCTTTCCTAAACGTTTAAAAAATTTAACCACAATAACCACTTTCGAAAAAAATTTCTGAAAAATTCCATGTAAAATTATTTATTTTTTAACTGCAAAAAATGCCGGCTTATCTAGATTGAAATCGATTTAAATCAAAAAATGTTCACTTTTCAGTTTAATTTATAGCCTTTAATAAAAAATCTATGTTTAATTACCCTTTAAATAAGTTTCATTTGATTATTGGGAGACCTAGGAAGTTATAAGCTGAAGTTTATAAAAAATAATTAAAAAATAATTTTTGGTAAAAGCATTACGTTGACGTGAAAATTCACATGAAATGAAACGTACAAATGTATTCAAATGATTAGACAAATGCTCATGAAAACTTGAGATGTTCATTTATCACTCAAGTTTATTACACAATAATATTCTGTGAATAATTTTAATTATGATGGTTCCATTGAGAAAAAGATTAATGATAGTTTCGCTATTTCGTTTTTATTTCATTGCTCATATGAAATTATCATCTAGTTGATCAATATTGATGACGAAGGAACTTTTAAGTTTACATTTTGATATGAAATGAAACATTGTGAGTAAAAAAGTAACAAATTTCATCAAAGTGTTAATATTAATCTGTTACTCAGAGTTGCCAAAATGATTATATCAAAAGCTAAACACATTCACGCTGTAAATCAATCAATATATTCAAAGGTAAGTCAGATATTAATATGAACATTCTCACTCAATTCAAGAATCTAAAACGTTGAGATTTTCTAGCTTGAATTGTCAGTTAATTTGAGCTCAAAGTAAATGATGAGAAAAATTAATATTCAGGATTCGTTCAATCAATTACACCGATTTGAATTCTCTTGTCTTTTAAGTCGAGCTAAAAGTTAAATTTGCTTTTTTGCCTTGTCCTTTCTTTCACAGAAAATTAAGGTTCCAAAAAGAAAATATATTTTACCGAAAATTATTCGTGTTTTTGGACTCTCATTGGCAATGATAATTTTTTCGTACCAGACGTTCTTACTATACAGTCAATATGCTACAAACAAAATCAAGATTGAATTAGGTTCCCGAAGAGTGGGTGAAATTCAAACTCCCAACTTCTCTTTTTGCTTTAAGCTTTTTCCCGATTCCAATGAGCAAGTCTCAACTCGGTCCTCGACGGCACAATACTCGAGTTGGAGGATTCAAGATATTGTCCGTGATGTGAAAGATAAAAGCGATACAGCAACAACTTCACAGCTTCTTCATTCAGCTGGTTCACTTTCATCGATTATCAGTAAATGTTACATTCGATTGTCAAATTTGACAGTCACTGAATGTTCACGCTTCAGTTGGGCTAAATCAATTTTGTCTAAAAAACTGTGCATGACTCTTGAATACAATGAAATTTTCGATCAAAAAGATGTCATTCTTGAAGCTTTTGATGACTCTCCATTGGTTTTCGTTAGATTCAACCTGACTTCGTTTAAAATGCACAATGAGTTTGTCATGGTTGCTCATGAATCAACGAGTGTTCCCTGGTTTCCAGATCCAAACTTTTTCTACATCAACATCAAGAAAAATTACAACCTTTATTCTTTTTCCTTCTCCAAAGTTATTGTGCAAAACTTGCCGAAACCTTATCACGACAATTGTCGCGTTCGACCAGGCAACTTCGATGATGTCAGTCAGTGCTATGACAATTGTTTGGTCAAACAGTTTACTAAGATTGTTGGTGCTTATCCTCGTGAATATACAGTGAAAAATGGAGACAACTTTAAGTTGATCGCAAATTATACCCAAGAAGTAAAGTACAACGATCTGTCGTACCAATTGTATCGATCATGTCTACCTTTATGCGGACACACTGATTGCATTCTCACCAAATATCGATTGAATCAACGCAAAGAATATCATTTGGATTCATCTTCAGATAAAACATTGGACATTCAAGTTTATCCATCGCCATTAATTGTTGTGATCAAATATCGCAAACCAGTTATTTCAGATTCCAATTTCATCTCATCATTAGGAGGCTTGATTGGATTATGGTTTGGAGTATCATTTTGTTCCTTATTCAATTCCATGTCAAACATTTGTAACAAGATGATCCGATCAAGAAACAAGGTTGAACCAGCACTCATTGCCAGAAAACAAAGGGTCAAGCGAAACCGAACTGTCAACAAATTTGAGCCACTTGGATCGTTTCCAAAAAAACATTATCTTGCACTTGTTGGTGAGATGAGTTCAAATAGAACCCGATTTCAGTTAAATTCAGGTTCAAGAATAAATTTTCACGATCAAGTTGATAAACATTGATCTTTTGTAGCACCTAATTAAGAATAAATTAAAGCATACAATTAAACTGCTTTCAATCTGACATTTATATGCTTTATTGATTTATCTGTTATTAATCTTCTTCTCTTGAAAGAGCTACAGTAATTACAGGAGATCTTTGCATATTATCCTTATACTGCAAAGATTTAGGGATTAATATTGATAGGAATTCAATAAGGGATAGAGAAGGGGAAATATGGGTGATCTGACAAGGTCTCGGCAGTAATGAATCGTTTGTCTTGATTAAGATTGTGGATCAACTCCATTTCATCTTTGGTTAGTTCAAAATCAAAAATTTGACTATTTTCTTTGATTCTTGCTGGAGTTACACTTTTAGGTATAACAATCAAATCTCGTTGAACAGCAAATCGCAAAAGTATTTGAGCTGCGGTCTTGTTGTGATTTTTAGCAATGTTAAGTATCGTTGAATCATTAAGTAAGGTTGTTTCGCCTGGTGCAGCACCAGGTCTATCAGGTGATCCTAATGGACTGTAAGCTGTAATATCAATGCCGCGTTGTTTACAGAAGTTAATCAACGGTTGTTGAGATAAATAGGGATGAACTTCAATCTGGTTAATTACTGGTTTTATTTCACAGTTAGCGAGAATCCGATCAATTTGTTGACTGTTGAAATTAGAGACTCCAATTGATTTAGCTAAACCAGCTTTCTGTACGTCTTCCATTCCTTTCCATGTTTCCAGATAATCAACATCAGAGTAGACTATTTTACCCTGTTCATCTCTTGGAAATATACCATTTCCTTCTTTGAATCCTGTTGGCCAATGAACCAGATACAAGTCAAGATAGTCAATACCAAGACTGGTCAAACTCTCCTTGCAACATTCAATGACCCGAGAACGAGAATGGTAAGTGTTCCAACACTTTGATGTTATAAAAATGTCTTCACGTTTAACAAGATTAGATTGAAACACTTCTTTCAAAGCTTGGCCAACTTCGTCTTCATTTTGGTAAAGCAGAGCACAATCAATGTGACGATATCCAGCTTCGAGTAGAGCATATTTAACAGCTTCTTTAACTTTTCCTTTCTCGGATTTCCAAGTTCCTAGGCCAAGGTAAGGAATCTTGAATCCATTAGGCAACAGCATGGAATGCAAATTAACATCAGCCATTGATCCTTCAATTCAATCCACAAATTATAAAAAATAAAACCAATTTTCAATTCCAAAGTGAAAGTAGCAAGAGAAGAGCAAAAACACAATAAATACCAAACACAATAAAATAAGGTTTGTATCTTTTATAACTAAAGAAAAGGAGAAAAAATGATGATAATTAATTTTATCTATTATTATAATATGTTAATTACATTAAGTACAATAAGTTAGATACATTATCTATTAATACAATATTACAATGAGTATACAACTTACTTTATTTTTAGGTGTCTTAGTGGCAAATATTTATGTCAACTTAATCACAGTTAACTGCATCATATAATTGTATAATATTGCATTTCCGAATCACACTCAATTTTTTATCAAATTACGTACGAAACAAAAATTAACGTTTTATCTGAAGCCTGTTGATTATTCCAAGCACTTATTCATTCTTTTCATGACGCATGGCCATTTGGTAAAAACCATGTAGATTTGGGTTAAATAGGTTCAGTAACGCGCGTAGATTTTCAACTGTTTTAATGTGGGATATGAACTTTTTTATTACCACATGTGAATTTGAGTTATAACGCGTTGATTTTAAGCGTAATTATCGGTTAGTATTATCCTAATCAGTGACCTTTAACAGAGAAGCTTGGCTTTCAGTTTTCATTGCAGAGAAAAGCAGAATTTCTGTGTTTTTGGTGTCTGTTATTAGTTTAAATGAGATAAAAAAATGAATTCCTCAGTAATTATGATCAATTAATGCATTCTTTTCTCACCTATTGAAGATTAGCAGTTTTAAAATTTGGAAGTTTCATCAATTGAATGATCAATAAAATACTTTGTTAAGGTTACAATGTTTACATGGACGCAAAAACGTTATGCGAGATCATGTTACAGATTATACAACCTTTAAGATTGAGTTTTAAAATAATTTTTCAATCATTTACAGGGATATAAAATCATAGAAGTTAAGTGATTTGATGATTTCAAAGGTATTTTTTCTCTGTCTACTTGCTTGTATAGAGAGTGAAAGTATTCATAAACTCAATTTAGATCTGTATTTGGAAATATATTTGTATATGTATTGTAATAGACGATCATTACATGCCTCGAATGCTCCGAAATTCAAAAATACAAGATAAACGTCAAGATTGCCTATTTCTTGATCGAGCTGAACCCCAATGTGAATGTGGCAATGTTATGAAATAAGCTGGAGAAAGTATTGATAAACTTATTGATTGATTCCGATTTTTTTGCTTATTATCTTTGAAACTTTTCTAGTCTTCATCATCAAGAAGAGCGAATCGGTTAGCTGTCCGTAGAAGATTTGATCTAATTTCGCCATCTTCTGTCTCTTCGCTTGAATCTTCATCGGTTGTCCCTTTCTCGTCTCCTCCTTCAGAGCCTTTTTGATTTACATCACCGGTAGACTCAAACTGAATGAACCTGATTCGATTTACATCAGGATCTTTGATGAAATTATCACATTCTTTCCAATAGTTGGGTGGATAAAAGATCAGGCACAAAGTTCGTCCATCCAAAGTTAATCTTAACAAATGGTTTGCAGCTCGATAAACATCAGGTCGGCCAGTTTTAGCAGTGAGATATCCCCGAAGAACAGCCCAAGATTCACAAATATCAAAAGCTGACCAAGCTTGATTTGTTGATTCTGGATCGATTTTCTTCAGTCTTAATATTTTTGGTACATTAACTCTAGCAGCTAAAAAGTGTATCACTGAATAGGGTTCACGTAATTGGGAAATGGGAAAGCAACCCATTAAAACTTGCATTTGTTTTGGAGCTCGACTGGGAAAAACTAGTCCAGGGCAATCACAGAGTTTAACATTATCAGTTAAATAAATCGTTTGAAAATGCTTGGTGTGTCCGGGAGTTCGAGAAACACTGACGACTTTTTTGCCAATAATTGCATTCATCAAAGAACTTTTACCCACATTTGGATGGCCAACGACACCTGAGTGAAATAAAAACGAGGATTATTATTAAGTTGATATTGTATGATCAATGAAAGTAAGTTATGTTTTGAGTCTCTTAAGAGGTGAATATTGCAGCAAGTTTTCACGACTAAAATTATTTAATAAAATCTTTCGGTATGCAAAAAGTTGAATTCAATCAGCTATGAATTTATTATCATAACTTACTTTCTTGTTCTGACTTAATGTGGATTAAATTTTCAATACAATACCTATTGTTAGAACACCAGAATCATATTTTTTCCACTCATAGTATCGAAAGTCTGAATGGTCAACATGAATATTCGTCGCATTCTGAAGAGCGCTCAGCTCTTCTTCACCGCCATCATCATCTGAATCTAATTCTGAGATTCTTTTTTCCTCGCTTATAAGTTCGTCATCAATTTTATTAGACCAGCTGGTAAGATCAACTTTATCACCAACAATGTCTTGTAAAACTTTCAGTAGTCTTCTTGAACCCTCAGCGGCCATCTTGAATTTACCATAACGGCGACCTTTGTGTTTACCTCTTTCTTTAACTTTCATACCAGCATAAGAAGCGAATGGGATAACATGAAGTTTAGGATATTTCATTTTAAAATAATGTAACCAAGCAAGAACCAAAGGAGCTTCAACTAGATCAACCTTATTCAAAACAAGAATCATCTCCTTGTTTAATCCATGAACCACATAATTGTAAAGAGAATGCGGGAAATGATAAGTTGGGTGTTTTATATCAGCAATAGCTAAAATAACATCTGACATCTCGATAACACGCCACAGTTGCCTCCAAGTTTCTAAATTCATTTCAAAATAGCTCAATTTAGAAAGGGATCCAAATTGAGCCTCGAGTTTTTCCAAATATTTTTTGAAGTAATCATACTCAATCGTATCCAATTCATCTTTGGTCAGATTATAATCGCGTACTGGTCTTTTAGGGAATGCTAGTTCATCATCGGGAAGAAAAATATCTTGCTCTTCAATCTCTAATTCATCAGGAGAAACCATTTTAATGGGCAATCTAGCGAGAGATTTTCTCTCTTCAATTTCTGTATCCGACTCTCGGTAAAAGTGCAAAGCATATCTGTTGGCGTTGGATGATGGGTTTGTCTTCTTTTGATAATTGATCTTCATTATGGACTCTGCAGTTAATTGTTCATTTTCAATGAGACAGTGTTCATCTCCACCTTGATTGACAAAGGTCTCCTCATCATCTTCACTTGAGTCTGATTTGCGACGCTTCTTTTCTCTTTTAGCTTTCAACTGTTGTTTCTTTTGTTTGGCACTAAAAGGTTTTTTCCTGCCTACTTGAGGCATATTATATCAACGCGTAGGGTTACTAAAATATAGGTACCAGCAAATATGTATTTGTTACCAGAAGTATTCCTTGATGAATAAGGTTAAATTGGTTAGACATACGACAAAACTGAAGTCAGGCCTAAATGTGATGCACAAACAATTAATTGGTTAAATAACTAACCAATAAATAATCACAAACAATATGAATTAACAACTAGTTTAAGATGTAAGAAGATGTTAAAGAAGATTCTGGTTAGTTCTGGTTTATATGTAAAGATGGTTACACACTTCAACACATGTAGACAATAACCACAATATAAGGGTATCAAAATGAAGAACTGAATGGTTCAGGGTAATTAATTCAGGGTGACTGCTCTCGAAGCTTGAGATTTGTAAAATAAATAGTTGATGCCAATGGATGATGAAAATTCAAATTAACGTAACTTAAATTTAATCGAAACATGAAGAGAAACAGCTTCATCAATGTAAACAAAATATATAAACACTAGCAACTGTCAACAAGAAGGTAAAGGTGGTGACACTCAAAGGCTGTTGTTCATTACGTGTTAAATTTGAACTCACAATCTTTCATTCAATCTTTAACTTTGATTTGATAAAAATACGCTAAAATAGGGTTAAATTAGTTTTGATGAGCGAAATATTATTTAATAGGCTTAATGTTATATAAGATTAACAAGATAACTCCACAATGTCAGTCAGTCAATGAAGTAAGTATAAAATTCAAGGTTGATCCATTATTTTTTTCTTGTCTCAAGCTTCCAAAAGCAACTGTCTGATGTTTAACCCAAGTTCATTTTTCTGTATCTTCATAGCCATGAATTATGGTGAAATATTTTCTGCAATTGTTCATCGCTCTAGTCTTTTAAATTTCAAATTGTATATTTTTACAGCATTTTGATTATTTTCTGAAACACTAGCATAAAGTATTTGTGGCCAATGTAGAGATCTACAAAATCTGAAATAAAAGTATAATTGTATCAAGCTCTTTTAAAATATCAGGTCTAAATTTATTCAATGCTGTGAAATTAAATAAAGATATCGAATTTTCCATATTTATTTACCATTAGTAAGGACAATTTTTGAATTCCACATTTGATTTACAAATATAAATTATGAATTGAAACTCAACTAAAAAACATACATTTAAACTTGGCGCCTATTTTACAACTCACATGCCACAACTCAAAATGTTATGTTTTCATAAAATTTGACTTTATTATGGTTGCAATCTGAATTTAAACGTGAAATTGATAATTTATTACCAAACTGAATAATGCCTTTGAACTGTGCCCGATGTAAAGCTGCTAGAGCAATTTTAAAACGCCCCAAAACCGTGAGTATAGCTGCTTTGTTTGTATCACTGCAAAATTAACATGTTTTAATTTTATGTTTATCATTTTTTTTTATTAAGAGAGATGCACTGTGCAAAGAATGTTTCTTCCATTGTTTTGAAAATGAAATTCACAATACAATTGTCGAAGGTAATTTATTTAAACCAGGAGACAAAGTTGCCATTGGAGCCAGCGGAGGAAAAGATTCAACAGTCCTGGCTTACATTATGAAACTCTTGAATGAAAGACACAACTATCGTCTTAATTTAGTTTTGTTATCTATTGATGAAGGTATAACCGGCTACCGAGATGATTCTTTGGAGACTGTTAAACAAAACCAGAAAGATTATGCCTTACCTTTAACTATTTTATCATATAAAGATCTATATGGTTGGTCAATGGATGATATTGTTCGACAAATTGGGAAGAAAAACAATTGTACATTTTGTGGTGTTTTTCGCCGTCAAGCTCTTGATCGTGGTGCAATCAAACTAGGTTGTAATTTAATTGTCACTGGACATAATGCAGACGATATAGCTGAAACCATTTTAATGAATGTTCTTCGAGGTGATATTGCTAGGTTAAAACGTTGCACTGCGATAAAGACAGGATCTGGTGATAATCCAGAAGAAAATGTAGTTCCAAGATGTAAACCATTCAAATACACCTACGAGAAAGAAATCGTTATGTATGCATACTTCAAAAAGCTGCACTATTTTTCTACTGAGTGTATCTACGCACCCAATGCTTATCGGGGACATGTTAGGAGTTATCTTAAAGACTTGGAATCTATTCGTTCATCTGCCATTTTGGATATAATACATTCAGGTGAAGTGCTGGCAGTCGATGAAGGTATAAAATTACCTGTCTTAGGAGCCTGTGAGAGATGTTCATATATTTCAAGTCAAAGGATATGTAAGGCTTGTGTGATGTTGGAAGGTTTGAGCAAAGGTTTACCTAAATTAGGTATTGTCAAAAGTAGTAAAGTGAAGATGATAAAAAGAGAAGCAATAACTGATGGAAAGAAATGTGATGAAAAATGTTGCTCATTTACTTGCAAAAGTGAAACAGATAATAAAACAAACTGCAAAAGTTGATTGATTACAAAAAATATTCCATCGAATCGTAATTTCAACAGAAAAGTTGTTCAAAATATGTTTTGTTTTTTCTTTTTACCATATCGGCCGCAATGTCCAGTATTTTTGGGTCCAAATATACATAGTCTCTAAAATGGACCAAACGAAATGTATAATTTGATGTGAAACATGTAAATTCATAATACAACTAAGTGATCAATACTTACTCTGTATTCTTATCTAGATCCAAAACTTCTGGATGTTTATGTACCATGTTTACAACACATCCTGGAATCCATGGTTTAGTGTCATTTACCAACAACAAGAGAGTAGACGTGAAGTCTAATGATTCGTTTTTCGTATATAAATCATACGACTTAAATAGATGCTTAATAAACACTGCTTCCGAAGAGGCAGCTGAAATTAATAACAAAACGATAATAATTGACATCACTAGACACTAGTTGATATATATTTAAAATAAGAGTCGTTATGCTGTGCGTTTAAAATAACAAACTGTCGACAATTGTCAACTTGCTTTAGCCTTTGCTGTCCCTGGGCCATGATTTAAAATAGTAAGATCACATCTTAAAGAGGGGCGTCGCTCAAAAGAGTCAAACCAATGAAATTTTGGCTGAACTTCCTAAAGGACCTCACGTCCGAAAGACACAACTATGGTCTTAATTTTGTTTTGTTATCTATTGATGAAAGTATAACCGGCTACCGAGATGATTCTTTGGAGACTGTTAAACAAAACCAGAAAGATTATGCCTTACCTCTAACTATTTCATGAAAGATCTATATTGTTGGTCAATGGATGATATTGTTCGACAAATTGGGAAGAAAAACAATTGTACATTTTATGGTGTTTTTCGCCGTCAAGCTCTTGATCGTTTTTTATAAGAAGAATAATTTTCATGCTACTTTTTAGGTTAATTTTTGAGACTTGATTCGTTACGTCCAAAATCACCAGATGGCAGCACAAGCGGAGTACCAGAAAAGTTTAAAATCCACCGAACTGTCCACTTGAACACCTTCGGCTATTCACAACCTTTCCCTAACATGTTTGTTAATTGTCAAAATTTTCAACATGAAGTCAGTGTTCGGTCAAATGATTCCTATTATTACTTGAGTGATATGTTTATTGAGATTCGACATTTTCCTTTGGATATCGGTATCCTTAATCCTGAAATAAGATTAACGAAAATAAAACAAGTCGATTTTAGTATGCTAATTGTGAACAATAATGGTTCACTTTACAACTGAGCAGTTACTCTAGCTTAGCTGGCTGCTGATTATCGATGAAATTTTTTATTGAAATATATAATCAATTGAATCATAATACAATGATCATGTATTTACTGTGTTTAACTCAGTAGTCAATTTAATGAAGAGGTTCATTGTCTGACATCTCTTGAGTTCATCTTATTTGCTTTAAAGTTTATTTTTGGTAACATCGGGAGATTGAATTATTTTTATTTCTTTTCCAGTTAGACAAAAAATGACTTCAAGAAATCTATTAATCATCGCGTGTGTTCAGTTAGAAAGTAACATGGAGAACTCTGTCTATTTTAATCGATCAAAAAAGCTTCAGAAATATTTTTTTCATCAAAATTACATTGCACAGAAAGCTATTAGTGTGGGGAACTTAAAGGCAAATTATCAAATAATTTGCACTGTAATTCTAGACGCAGATAAAAAACTCTGATAGACTGCATAATAAGCTATTTTCATTGTGACCCAAAAGGTTAGAAACCGAAAATAATAATAACACATTGGCTCGTCATAAAACAAATTTCCTAATTTAAAGTGTTACTCACTGATCTGTTAATTAGTAATAAAGTAAAAATGAAAATTATCACATGAACATTAACATGAATCTAGCGCGAACGAGAACGAGAAAGTTGTAAAATTGAAAGTTGCTTGAGATTGATTGAAAGCAAAACAAAGAGTATTCATAGGATGAAATCTCGGCGATCAAACAATTCAGCAAATTCATCAGATTAAGATGACTATTGGCCAGTCAATCATTTAATGTTAATTTAACTGGTGAAGTAATGATTCACTCGTGAAGGTTACTTTCACCTGCAAACTCATCCCATATTGATGGGAGGATAGTAAATGGGGGTCGCAGACATTTCACTGTTTGGGAGACTGTCTATTTTCATTTCTGCTTTTACTTTTTCTTCCTTCTTGTGCTTTTTCCTAGCAGTGTTGTTTTGTTATTTACCAGTTTTTGTTGATAACTTATTTCTCTTCTAAACTTCAACAAGTGTTAATCTAGGATTCAATTGTTCAATTTTGATCAAGGTAAGTTTAAATTGTCCAGTTTTCGTTTTATTTTTCAGGCCTTTCTTCATTTAGTGGTTTGTAAGTCATCAGGTCATCCATGCTAACTCTTCTATCTTTTTGGGAACAGTAACCAGTTTGCCACTCCTTAATGTGTTAATTCTTGTGTAATAATTTTATTAAGTTTGTTCTCTGTTTAAAGTCATATTTTCCTGTTATCGCCATTTTAATTACTAGAATGGTCTTCTAGCAAGATCCTCAATATTTAAATGAGTAGCAACTCATCACTGCTGTTTTCATCTTGAGCTTTTTCAATTTCGTTTTCTTTTGTTTGAAAGGTTTTTTCAATTTTTTGTTACATTGGTACATTGATGATAAGTGTGTATTAAACTTTGCCACCATTATTCACTACACACTTCATTTGCTTATCTAAATTCACTCTTGATTACCTCATCCATTTTAACTCTGTTTACATATTCTTTTCATATATTTCTCTTTCTAGATCCAACAAAGAACAAATTATTTTCTAACTCTGTAAACATTTGATCAAAAATACTCGTCCTTCCACGTCAAAATGCCTTCAATCAAAGTTAACTCACTCTTGGGTTTAATGGTAATGTTAGCCCTCATCAGCTCTTCAAGCCAACAGTTAAACATTTTTGGAAACATTTTCGATTGCTTTAAAATGATCACCAATGCCATGAGTACCTGTGAGCAACAACTGCAAGATCGACTTGACTTGGTCGACAAAGCTAGTGAACAAGCTGGAGAAAATGTTGATAAGACCATGTTCACATGCTGTTATTTCGCTGAATTTTCTCATTGTTTGGATTCAAAGACTGAAGGAAAATGCGGAAAAGACATAAGTACAGCTATCTCCACTAGTGCAAGCTCAGTTGCTAAGGTCTTAAACTCAAAATGTTCAGACTATGAATACTATGTAAGTTGTTAATCTTAAGTTTGAGATTCTTGAGATAATGTATTTTAAGTGTGTGAGTCTAAACAACTAATACATGGAAAATACATCCTCTCTTTTTAATTGTATAATAATTTTAATTAACTTTCTATTGTTTTTTTATTCCCACAGAGTGCTAAATGTCTTTTTGTTGTTTACCTCAACTACATCGTGATAGTCGCCATCATTTTGGCCGTGATTTCTGTTGCTAGCTGTGTAATTGGCTGTCTTCGTCGTCGTTGAACATAAACAAAACAACAAAATTGCCGTCACTCGATCAAAAGCAAACGAACCACCAGTATCCATTTTCTTACCTAAGACATTTCTCATCATCATTCCCTTCCTTGTCAAGTTTCTCCTAGTTAGACTACCACTTAACTGATTTATAACATTAGATATTTCTATGACTTTTAGTCACCAACTCGTTTTTTTTGTTTCTCACTTAAATTTCAAAGCTCATTGAATCTCTTCATGATGTTTCTAGTTCTGTACCCTATCATTACTGTTTATTCATTTCTTTCAAAAATAATTTAAAAACCCAAACCTTTGCTTTTCTCATTTAATTACTCCGTCCTCGAAAAAAATAATTTATTTTGACTTTTCTACTTTATTCTTTGAATTTGATTGTTGACACCCTTAAAACCAATTTACACCCAAGTAAATATTTACCTTTAAAATATTGTGATAAGCTTTTTAGATGCCATTTTGTTCAGCCTTCAAAAATAGCAAAATTTCATAGTACAATGTCAATTTTAGTGAAAACAAAGAATGGTTATTTCATCGTTTCAATTTGATTCCGACTCTCAACCACCAAGATTCACAACCAATAGGAAATATTATTACAATGGATACATTTTCATGGACCAGCCATTGTCTGCTAACAGCAAGCTCTGAAGATAAGAAGAACGAAAGTGTGGGAAACAAAATAAATCCAACCCTCTTCCTCAACAGGATGGATGCCATCAATAATGTACTTTGAACAAATGCAAGGGCAATCTTGAATCTTCCTGCTCGTTTTTGGTCATTTTTTGCCATTTTTTCCATTTAATGTACATGTTTTTTTTCAACTGAATAACCAAACCATGTGGTTTTATAAACTGAAAAATTGATCGGTATTTGAAAAAAGATGTAATGCTGAAAAAGTAAACTATGAAATGGTAATATGTTTACAGAAACTGCTTAGGTTTTTCTTGGTTCATGTTTCCTTTCATGTTGAAAAATAATTGCACTGAGCTGGAAACAATGTAATGTAACAAATAATGTAAAACAAGTGAAAGGTTGAATCGTGTTTTTTATAACTTTCCAGTGAGACATTAAGGTTAATCCATTATGGAATGAGAACGGAAAACAATATGGGCAACTATTATAAGACTAATAAATTGTGTTACCATTAATGATATTACTATTGAATTGTGTTTTTCTTTCATAAAATATCTTTTCATTACCAATTACATATTAATATTTTGTTGAAATTGATCTACCCAGTAAATGTACGCATTTATAAATGAATGCATCAATTGATTTTCTTACTCTTTCCACTTTCTCTGTCCTTTCAAGGTTTAATCATCAGCTTAATTAACATGTTTAACCAGGATTTTTAGAAAATCAATGATTATTGATTATACCTGGAAAGTGCATCAAAACTTAAAATAAATATTTCTATTAAAATGATATTTATTTCCCATTGACATCTTTCGATCATGTTACCCACAGCAAGTTCAGTCATTAATATTTGCTCACCTTTTTACTAATAGTTGTTTATTATGATAAAAGTTGATCAAATATTGAATTAATAACATCACAAACTTTCAGTTCTTTAGACTAATCATACATTAGTCAAATGGGTTAGTGAATGTAACTAAAAAATTTGAAATTGAAGCTAAAAGGGCACTTAATCTTGAACTAAAGACCGAAATAAAAAATGGGAAAACTGAAACTGCAGATGAATGAGTAGGATGGCAAAGATTCAAAACTAATAATGAAACTATTCTGCAAAGAGGAAAAACATGGAATCGACAAGACATGTATCAAACTAGAATACTGTAAATAGGCTATGACAATGACGAAGATCGGCCTCAAAACGTTTGATCTAGACTGACTGTTTGAATGCAGCTCGATGAGGAAAACGTTGATACATGGAGTCCATCGATCAAGCCATACAAATACATTACAAAAAATCCCATAGTTTGTCTACACAGGTTATTACAAAGAATAACTATGAATCACTAGTTTAACCAGAATAGATTATTCAGATGAATGGTCAAAACATTCAGCACACCAAAGATCAATCCGAAGCGAAATTCTTATGGGAGGAACCCAAGTAAAATAAATGAAAATAATTAATGCTTATTGATTTGTAATTATTATATGAAGGTTTAAAATGCATAATTTGTTAGCGTATGATGGCCATTTTAAATGATTACAGGAGATTTAAATGCCGTCGAGCCTTTTCCTTCTGAATCGTCAGTTTTCTTGATTTCGTTTGAATAATCGTAAACAAATTGAGACTAGTAAAAACAGACAATTAACACAATTATTACATTTATACACAAATTGAAAAAATGAGTAAAAACGGGTAAAAATTTATTTCTTTCGAATTTAGACTCTGTTAGTTTATGAGGATATAAAAACTGAGCCATTTGGCCTATTTGAAAATTTCTCCGATGAAAAGTTTTCGAGAAAATCGGTGTCAAAGTTGAAACTTGAATCGCTTTTTATACAACTGTGAAACCAGATTTTTTAATGAAACTTTATTGCTCTGATACAACTTTTGATGGCTAACGATAAAATGCACTTATTTTGAGAAACAGAGTTTTCTTCTTCCTTTAAAACACATCACTTCGATTTTTAGTTAAACCGATTGCTCTCTGTGACCGTAAGAGTTAGCGAGCTGAAACTTATTATTTGTTCATGCAATTGTTGGTACGATCCGTGGCTTGAATGCTATAAACAATTTAAAAACAGTTCTCTTGATTTTGGCCATGAACATTAAAACTTTGAGCCTCGATATTTCGAGAATGGTAGTACATATAGTCATCATTCTTTCACCAATTTGATTTCTTACTAATAAATAATTCAATTCAATCTAAGAACCTTCCATTAGGGCACTTGGGTCATGATTTTTGGGTTGTAAATGCACGAGCAGCAACTTATTCAACAAAAGTAACTCTTCTCAACCCATTTCTTGGTAAATAAAGCAACTTTCTGGTTAAAGTTGCAAATCAAATGCAAAGAGGGATGCTGTAGACGCGATCATTTGAGTTAAGATTTGAGACTTGGTGGGGTTTGTAGGGACATAAAAACTGGGTCCATTGATGCTGTTAAATAGTTCATCCGATGAACAGTTTTGGAGAAAATCGAAGCCAAAGTTGAAACTTCGATCGCTTTTTGTGCAGCTATGGAAGCAGATTTTTTCATCGAACTCATTTTAAAGATGAAAGATTTAATGATCATCCAGAAAATGCAATTATTTTGAGAAATAGAACTTTTCTTTTTCTGCAAAGTAGATTAGTTCGATTTCTATTTAAACCGATCGCTCTTTGTGATTGATATAGTTAGCAAGCTTAAACTTATTATTTGCCCATGAAAAGTTTTGGTTGACATCATGGATTGAATATGTTTTTTAATTTAACAACAGTTCTCTTGATTTTGACCATTTATTTAAAAACTTTGAGCCTCAATATTTCGAGAATGGTGGCACCCACAATCATCGTTCTTTAACCAAACATTAGATTTTATTATGGGCTATAACAGTATATGACACAATTCTGAATAAAATCTGAGCTAATTCATTTAATATTGAATATCCTTCTAACGCAAAAGCTTGCTGTTTGGTAACCATTCAACTTTATAAATCAAGCTCAAACATGACAACGTAAGTAATGAATTGCTATAGCTTATTAATCAAGATCTTGAATGCTTTAATATTTCAATATATTCTAGCCCATAATTGCATCTAATGTTTGTTGAAAGAATGATGCTTGTGGGTGCCACCATTCTCGAAATATCGAAGTTCAAAGTTTTAATACCAATTGCCAAAAACAAGAGAACTGTAGATAAATTGAAAAAAGTATTTAATCCATGTTATGTATCAACCATTTTTGTGAACAAGAAATAAGTTTCAGCTTGCTAAGTCAACCGGTCATAGAATGAAGTCGGTTTAACGGAAAACCAAACTTGATCTGTTTTACAGAAAAAGAAAATGTTATTTCTCCAGATAGGACCATTTTATGGTTGGTCATCAAAAGTTAAATAAGTTATTTAAGTTTCATGAAAAAACTTGCTTCCATAACTGCACAAAAAGCGATCGAAGTTTCAACTTTGGCTTCGATTTCCTCAAAAGCTGTTCATCGGATGAACTATTTAACAGCATCAATAGACTCAGTTTTTATGTCCCTACAATCTCCAACAAGTCTCAAATCTTAACTCAAACGATCGCGTCTACAGCAGCACTCTTTGCATTTCATTTGCAACTTTAACCAGAAAGTTGCTTTATTTACCAAGAAATGGGTTGAGATGAGTTTCTTTTGTTGAATAAGTTGCTACTCGGGCATTTACAACCCAAAAACCATGACCCAAGTGCACTAATGGAAAGTTCTTAGATTGCATTGAATTATTTATTAGTAAAGAATCAATTTGAAAAAAGAATGATGATTGTGAGTGAAGGCAGTATCGAAATATCGAGGCTCAAAGTTTTAATGTGCATGGTCAAAATCAAGAGAAATATTGTTAAATGGAAAAAAGTATTTGATTCATGATGTTTGCCGACAGTTTTTATGGACCAATGCTTAGTCTCAGCTCTCTAACTCTTACGGTCATAGAATGCGGTCGGTCTAACTAAAAACCGAACTTATCCTTTTTACAGAAAAAGAAAAGTTCTATTTCTTGAAATAATTGCATTTTTTGGTTGATTATCAAAAGTTACATCAGTAAACAAAGTTTCATGGAAAAATCTGCTTCCATAGCTATACAAAAGGCAATCGAAGTTGCAACTTCGACACCGATTTTCTCGAAAACTTTTCATCGGACCAAATTTTTAAACGACACAAATGGACTCAGTTTTTATATCCTCATAAACTAACTAACAGAGTCTAAATTCGAAAGAAGTCAATTTTTATGCGTTTTACCTATTTGTATCGATTTGTGCAGTAAAATAATGTAACAGTAGCATTTAGCAACGATCTGAAACAGTGTTTCTTTCACTTATTAATCAAATAACAAACATTTAAAATTAATTTAATTTTAATTCAAGTATAAATTTCATTTCGTTTCTCAAGAAAATAATTCAGTTTTTAACCAAGAGTATATGCTATCAAATGTTCATTCACACAAATATTTTATTTAGTCTATTAAAATTACTGTACAAAAGCAATATCAAGCGTCCTAGCGTTGCCATGTAATTCACTCAAAGCAATTGAATCAAGAGCCCGGATACTCATTTTATGATTTTTAGTGTTTGAAATCAAATATATTTTATTTTTACGACTATTTACATTTTTCCTTGCAAGCTTTCGACATTAAATAGCATATGTTTAGATTTAACAGAATTCCAGTCGTATCGATGACAAGTAATTATTTTTAAATGTGATTACTTTATTGTTATTTATTTTAATATTTACATTTATGTCAGTTAAATTTCAATCTCATCTTGATTTTATTTTTCAACTTGTCAGGGAGAAAGGGTTGATAAAAAGGAGGGAGAGAAAAATAACATAAGATGAATAGGAAGGAAAGGGTTAATTGAAAGGACAACAAAAAAATGAATTTAAAATATTGGATGAAAAAAAGAATGAAAGATCTTTGGATAACGCCTGTTTCTTAATTACTGAATAATTTGATGAGGATGAAGTATTTAAATGTAAGTTTCCTTCAGGATATTCATTTTGATCGAGATTCTTTCTTAGGATAGTGCCAAATCTTGAAGAAATATTCATTTCGGCCCATTAATTTGTGTCTAATGTAACTACGAACAACCGGATCAACACCAGCTTCTCTCATCCACGATGATGTTTGAGATGTTGTACTAAATGTTTGAGATGTTTGGTCATCTTTTTCACCGTCAGCTCTTTCAAAGTAACGGAAGGTTGGCTCTTCATCAAATGTAACAGTATGTGTTGTTTCTGATCTTGACTGATCTCCACCATCAGAAGTTTCTTCTACTGTTACAACACAGGAAGATGATTGTTCACCAACTGTGCAAGAATAGGTTCCTGCATCAGTTAATCTTGATTTAGCGATAATAAATTTCTGCTTTTTACCATCAATTTCTAGGCGAACACGAGAATTGAAAGAAATTTCAGTATCGTCTTTATACCAACGAACCCAAGCATCTCCTTTAGTTAATCCAATTGTCAGTTCAATTTTTTCTCCTTTTAATACAGTTAAATCTTCGAGACGCTCAGTTATTTCAGGTGGAAGTTCAATAACAACTAAATCAGCTGAACAACGATCTCCATTTTCCAACACGCAAGAGTATTCCCCTTCGTCAGCAATATGAGCATCTTTTATCAACAATTTACGATAATATGAATCACAGATGAAACTATATTTATTCGTACTTTCAGCTATCAAATTACCATCCTTTTCCCAATGAACGGAACCGTTTTCTTGGGACAGCTTCACGACAAATAGAGCTTCATCTCGCTCTTTAACATCGAATTCAACCAATTTCTCGACAAAATATAATTTTCCCGAAGTAATGGTCACCTTCGCTTTATGTTCGACAGATCCATTATCATCTTCCACAATTACTTTGAATTCTGTATTATCTTTATCACAGCTTGTTTTCTCGATGATAAGAGTATATTGATAATTAATTGTGTCCTCAACCATTCGGATTGTTCTGGTTTCTTTCAATTTTTTGCCATTTCTATACCATGAGACTTTTGCTTTGCCTTTGGTTTTGAGAGTTTTGATGGTTAACTTTAAGGGTTCACCTTCTGGTACTGAACAATCACTAAACTTTTCAATCAGAACAGGTCCATAACTTGAATCAGCTATTACAGTTAAATTGAAGCTTGTTTTGGCCACACCACGTTCATTGCTGGCAATCAATTCATAAGATCCACTTTCAGATAGTTCAATACTTTTAAAGGTAATTGTTATTCTGTACAAGCTAAGCTCTTCTGATGTTTCAATGATCACTCTTGATGATTTAACAGTCTCCTTGTTAAAGCGTAAACTAATAGATGGCTTAGGCTCAGCAGCTAATGAACATTCCATTGTTACTGTCGATCCTTGCGGAGCCGTACGAGATCGCAATGGCTCAGTAAAGAATGGAATGATTCCATCCAAACTGAGTGAATTACAAATGGATGATTCACGGGACATACTTTGACGAGAAATGGTTGTCGAAATATCAGTTTCTAAATTAAAAGTGAGCAAAAGATAAAAATACAATTAGCATAAATTTTGTTAATCAATTATTCAAAATGAATGTGAATTTCAATTACCTTCAATGAATAGATCGGCTGAACAAGTTGCAAAACCAGCAGGGTTTTTAGCAACGACTGTATAAGTGCCTGAATCTTCTAAATAAGTTTCCTTGATGATTAATTTACAGATATCTTCTTCATAAATAATTTCAATGTCTTCAGAAGACTTTATAAACGAGGTGTGCTTGAACCAGGTAACTGTTGGTCTAGGAGTACCAGAGATTTGACACTGGAAGGTATAACTTTGCCCTTCTGAACATGTTCCCGATTCAATTTTCTTAATAAAGGTAGGAGCTTCCAATTCCTCTGGTTTGCCAGTTTCTATTAAAATAAATCAGACAATTAAAGATAAGGGTAAAAGAAACACAAATAGGTCAATTATATTCAGAATCTTTAACTTACTTCCAAAAGTTGGTAATCTCTGGATCTTTTCACTCAATTTTTCATTAATATTGTGAGTGAACTCAGCTATATTAGTCAATATATGAGCTGGAACCAAACCTTCCTCTTTGGTTAAATGTTTTCTAACAAACCACCAATCGGTTGAATATCTTTCAATCAGGTAAACCTTTTCACCTTCCATGATGGTTAAGGCATCTGGTGATTCAGCGATGTAAGACTCTGATGCCACCAAACGAACAGTGGCTTCAGATGATTCCTCTGTTACTTTATATTCAGCTTGTTCAATTTTATTTGGTAACTTAATTGACTCTGATTCACTTGAATCCTCGGTTATACGTTTACTTCGTTTCTTTGTCGTTCTACTTGATGTAGGTAAATCAAATGATTCCTCAACTGTTTCACCAATATGTTTGGTTCTTTCAATTGAGTCATCCCTTTTCACCGAAAATTTACCTTCAACGGTGCTTTCACCTGTGGTACTTGATTTACGTCTTAATCCAAATCGATATTCAGTTTTAGAATCACGTCGCTTACTCTTGGTTAATCTTTCATATTCTTCCTCAGAAACCTCCTTCCGAATTGTCAATTGATCTTCTTCTTCTTCAATACGATATTTCCTTCTGTCATCATCAACACTTTCTCGTCGAATAACAGATTCAACGGATTCAGTTCGAGAGGTTGAATCAATTGAGGAAGATTTCTTAGACGACTTTCTGGATCCTTTAATAGTAAATTCTTCATCAACCGAGCTGGTTGACTTTACTGAGTCTCGACGTAAAGAATAATCAGCTTCAACAGTAGAATCTTCTGATTTCTTGCGTCTCAATTTGAATGAGGCCTCATCATCTTCATCGCTTTGCTTCTTTTTACCAATAGATTGATCGTATTCCTCTTGAGAAACAACCTTTTTCAATGTCATTTCTGCTTGTTCTTCAGTGATTTTGTAATCAACAGATTCTTTCCTCGTAGGTAAAATAACCTTTTCTGATTCGGCATCAGCTTCTACTGATGATACTTTCTTTACCTTCTTGGTTTTCCCTGGCAGAGTAAAGCTTTCTTCAACCGGTGATCCTGATTGAGGTGAAGGTTGCTTTTGTTTAAGAGTAAACTCAGATTCAACTGGCTTCTCTTCTGATCGTCGGCGTCTAAATTTGAACTCAGTCTCTTCATCCTCTTCTTGGATAATGACTGGTTTCTTAATGGTAGCCTCAACACTCTCCTCTGATATCTTATAATCAGTGGCAGTTTCCTCTTGTTTAATTTTATCTGATTTAATTGTTTGACTTATTTCAACAGAGCTTGTTGAACTTTTACGCCTAGGTTTGGTATGAGTTGTGAATTCTGCAGAAACTGGCGATGTTTCACGAGGTTCATCTTTTTTCAAACTAAACTCAGCTTCAACTGGTTTATCATCAGATTTTTTACGGGGTAATTTAAATTTAGCTGATTTGTCGTCTTCTTTGTCTTTAGTTTCTTTCAAATGTTTCTCATATTCTTCTTCACTAACTTCTTTCTTTATCGTTATGGAATCTGATTCTTCTTGAACAGAATAAACAGTAGAAGCGGAATCTGGTGTTTCAAGAGAAACTGTCTCTTTTACCAATTCCAATTGAGTTGAAGACTTCCGCCTAGGTTTGGGTTTCGGTGGAATAGTGAAGCTCTCCTCAACTGGAGAAGTTTCTTTTGGCGATTCTTTCTTTAAACTGAATTCAGCCTCAACAGGTTTATCATCAGACTTCTTACGACGAAGACTAACAACTGATTCTTCAGTATCTTCTTTTGGCTTTTCTTTGGTTATTTTAATACTTTCTTTGCGTCTCAAAGGAGGTTTCATGGTTTTCTCATCTTTTGATTTCAATAGATCATATTCTTCTTCAGAAACCTGAAAATTAAAATAAATTAAAATAAAATTAGATTGTAAAGTGACTTATTTGGTCTGAATTTTTGAGTCGAGAAAATCGACATTATTGAAAATTAAAATTGAAAATGTTTCTAAAAATACGTTTGTAAGTTGAGAATTGATTACTAATGACATTTGATTGAATAAAAATTGAATGTTTACCTGTTTTTTGATTGTTATTTCAGCAGTCTCTTCAGAGACTTTATATACGACTGGTTCTTCCGTTGAAGGTAACACAATTGTATCTGCTTCTGTCATCTCTTCTGTAGTTGTTTTTGCCCTTGGCTTCGGTGCTAAAGTTAATTCAAATGAGTCTTCGACTGGAGATGTAACAATAGGTTGAATCTTGGGAAGTGTTAATTCCCCTTCAATGGAGACAGTAAGTGAAGGTCTCTTCAAAGTAAATGAAAGATCGGCAGACACTTCCTCTGATTCTTTTACAGTGTCTACTTTTGATGGTCGACGAACAGTAAATGCAGCTTCTTGTGGTTCACTATCAGATTTTGGTGCCGATAGTTTGAACGCATTAACAACCTCTTCTTCTTCAGGCTTGTCGCCTCTTTCATCAATAATTGGTTTTTTAATTGTAAGTTCCGCAGAGCTTTCTTCCTGAGGTTTAGTTATTTCTTGACTAATTGATGGTAGCATCACACTAGTCTCTTCAGATGTGACTTCCTTTTCTTTTGGTTTTTTGATTTTTTTCTTAATTTTGATTTCCGTTGAAACATCCTGAACAGTCTTCTCTTTTTCTGGTATTTCAGAATCACTTGGACGTCTTAATGTAAATTGCGATGCGCTAACATCTTCGGGTTTAGATTTTGACGGCCTGCGAAGTTTAACAATCGATTCTTCAGGTTTGGTTTCTTCAATGTCTTTCTCAGGTTGAGCTGTAAAAGTTTCACCTGGAATTTCGACAACTTTACGAATAGTCAACTCATCAGCTTCAACTTCACCTGGTTTAGCTTCAATTTGAGTAGCTGGACTTATTATTACGGCTTCTTCAACAGTCTCTTCCTTTTTAGGAACCTTTTTGGGTTTCTTCTTGATAGTTATTTCGGTTGTTGAATCCTCAACTTCTTTGGGTTTATCAATAATAGTAGCTTCAACAGGTAACGAAGGCTTACGAATCTACGGGTGATTGAAAAATTCCAACGATTAATTCCTATATTGTTTGAATCAAACTTATAAAAAATTCAAAACACATTACCTTGAATTCTGCTTTGAAATCTTCCTCTTCCTCTGGTTTCTTGCTCGGTCTTCGGAGTGAAACTGCTGCTTCCTCTGATTCAGGTTTTGTTTCTTCAACGTCTTTCTCAGGTTGAGCTGTAAAAGTTTCACCTGGAATTTCGACAACTTTACGAATAGTCAACTCATCAGCTTCAACTTCACCTGGTTTAGCTTCAATTTGAGTAGCTGGACTTATTATTACGGCTTCTTCAACAGTCTCTTCCTTTTTAGGAACCTTTTTGGGTTTCTTCTTGATAGTTATTTCGGTTGTTGAATCCTCAACTTCTTTGGGTTTATCAATAATAGTAGCTTCAACAGGTAATGAAGGCTTACGAATCTAACGGTTATAAGCAAATAAATTAATTATTTTCAATTTTTTGTATAAGTTTATGTATCTATAATTCTAATATTTCAATGAACAGTACATTCCATTATCAAAATACCATATTAAATTTAAAATTTATACAAATAAAATATAATAATTGATTCCATACCTTAAATTCTGCTTGTGTTTCCGTTTCTTCTGGTTTTATATCAGGTTTTTCTTCAGGTTTAATCACTTCAACTGAAGTTGTCTCGTCTAAATCTGGCTTAAGTGTAACTATTTCACCAGGAATTTCAACCTCTTTACGAATTGTTAGTTCGTCAGCTTCTATTTCACTAGGTTTTGTTTCCTCTGTAACAGTTGGACTGATTGTAACAGCTTCTTCAACAGCTACTTCTTTCTTTGTCTTTTTAGGTTTCTTTTTAATTGTTATTTCAGTCAATGAATCCTCAACTTCTTTAGGCTTTTCCGAAACATCGATTTCAACGGATGATGGTTTTGGAATCTGAAAAGATGTTCAAGAGTAAAGTTTATCGGTCAATCAAAATTCTAGCTCCATGAAAAATAGTTTATGCTTACCTTAAACTCAGCTTTTAGATCTTCCTCGTAATCTTTACTAGGTTTTCGCATTGTTACTGAAGATACCTCCGGCTGATCTTTGGATTCTTCTGGCGCTGAAAATTCAACCTTTTCACCAACCATTGAAACTTGGTCTGTTTTAACTATGGACAATTCAGCCTCGACATCTAACGAAGGAACCTTAACTTCTTCAATAGCAGGCTTAGTTACAATAGTTGTCATTTCTGCGTCAGCAGATTTCTTCTTTGGTTTTTTCTTGATCACAATTTCTGTGTCCATATTTTCAAGTTCTTTTCGTTGTTTTGTGATTACAGCTTCAGCTTCAACTTGAGGAGCTGAAGGTTTACGCAGTTTGATCGCCACTTCAATAGGTTTTTTATCCTCTTCAGGTTTCTCCTCTTTGTTTTCCTCTGTTGGTTTGATAATTTGTTCAACAATTTCTTTTGTAGGTTTTTCTGGAATGTTTTCTGGAGATTGGAAAGAAGTTCTGCGAGGCGAAATGGATACTTTTTCAGTCGACAAAGTTAGCTCCGAAGTAGCGGCCTCTTTCTCTGGTACCGTTGCTTCTTCTGGTTTACTTTGTATTGTTAAAGATGTACTACTGGCTTCAATTTCTTTCTTTTTCTTTGGCTTCTTCTTTATTGCTATTGATGTTTCCATTGTCACGATTGGTTTCTCGATCTCTTGTACATTTGCGTCTTCTTTTGTCGGTAATGTCAACTTGAACTCACTGGTCAGCTGTGATTCCTCGCTTGGTTTATCAGGAATCGATGATTTTTTCAGAGTTATTGAAGTAGTCTCAACTTCTTCTGGAACTGAAATAGGCGCTTTTAGTTGAACAGAAGTTACTTCCTCAGGTTGACTTTTCTGTTCTTCCTTTTTCGGTAACTTGATTGACTCAACATGTACTGGAGTTTCATGATCTTTTTGAGGTACAATAGATACTTCTACAGGTGATTCTTGTTCTTTTGACGGTTTTCTAAGTTTTATCGTATCTATAGTTTCTTCTGCTTGTTTCTCTTCAGGCATTTCCTCAGGTTTTACAGCTTCAGTAACAGTATCTACAGTAGTTATTGATGCTCTTTTAGGAATATCAATCGATGTTTCTGCTGGAATAGTGAAAGCTGTTTCTCTACATGGCATAGTCAAACTAACCATGGAGACAGCCTCAGCATCTGATGGCCTTTTCTTTGGTTTTTTCTTGACTGTTATCGATGTTTCAATGTCTTCCTGGATTGGAGTATCTTTATCACCAATGGACGGCTTTCTTGCCTTCAAAGAAACAGAGATCTCTTCTGGTACAGAATGTTCCGGTTTCTTTTGCTTAAAGCTGACAGTTGTTGTTTCTTCTTGATCTTCTTCCGGTTTTTCTGATTTCACAATTAATTCTTCAGATTCAGTCACTTTCTCAGGTGATTCCACAATTTTTGTTTCTTCCTTTTCCTCTGGAAGAGGAGTTGGTTTAACAACAGATTGTTTTCGCCCAGGAATATCAAGAGATATGGAAACATTTTCATCCATTGTTTCTGGTACCTTGAAAACTATCGGTTTACCGGTTGTTTCAATGGTTGTTGATTCATTGGCTGTTTCTGCAACAGATTTTTTACGTTTTGATTCTTCAATTGGAATAGACGAAGGTGATACAAATGATTGACGACGACATGGGATATTAATATCTGATCGCACTGTTTGCTCAGTAATTTCAGGAACTTGGAAAACAGTTTCTTTCTCTGGAATAGTTAATTCGACTGATTCGATTTTTATCTCATCTTTTGGTTTCTCTTTGGAAGCGATCACTTCAGTCGGTGAAGTTGGTTGTTCAGTCTCAGACAGATTCACTTCTGGTTTTATCAGTGATTGTTTACGATCGGGTATTTCGACTGTCACAATTTGCGTAGACTCTTTTAGAGTTTCAGGAACATTAAAGACAATTGGTTTTCCAGTTGTCTCAATGGATGTTGATTCGACAGTTTCTTGTTTCTTTTTGATTTTCTTTACACTAGTTTCAATAGGTTTTTCTTCGATCTTTTCATCTTTTGGCTGGACGAACGATTGAACTTTACAAGGGATTTCCAAATCAACAACTTCATTTGCCTCTACTGGTAAATCAGGGACTTGGAAATGTATTGGTTGACTTGAAGTTTCTAAAATTGCAGTTTCAGTTGTTTCTTTCTTATCCTTTAATTCGATCTTTTCAGTTTCAACTGGAATTTCGGATGGGCTGATAAACATTTGCTTTTCAGTTGGTACAACAATTTCAGTAGAAACAATAATTTCTTCTTCTACATAACCTGGAACTTGGAAAGTAACAACTTGATTCTCCATCGACGTTTCTTTCTTAAATAATGGTGCATCAACTACCGTTTCAACACTTTCGAGGAATGGTGATGGACTAACGAATGATTGTTTTCGTTCTGGTAAAACAAAGTCAACGGAAACTGAAGTCTCTTGTTCAACATCAGGAACTTGGAATACCGTTTTCTCCGAACTTTGGAGCGTAAATGTTTCACTAACATCTTCTTGTTCGACTGACGGCTTTCTTGAACCAAAACTGAAAGTAGCTTGTTCAGTTTCTGTCGATTCGACTAATGGTTTTGAAGGTTCTTCTTTTTTCAAAGAAACAGATGTTTCAGTTTCATCTAGTTCATTCTTAGGCTTAGAAAGCTTAAATGAAACTTTACTTGATTCTTCAGGTTTTTCATCCTTTTCAGCTTCAGGTACTGAGAAAACAGTGGTTTCCATAGGCATATCAATAGATATTGTTTCCGAACCGTCAATTGACTCGCCGGGTTGTAAAATGGCGTCACCAATCGAGAAGCGAACCCTTTTAGCTTTACTAGTAGCATGTGCGAAAGCAATTTCATCTTCAGTTTCTTCCCTGTCCTTTGGCTTTGTTTCCAAAGTGATTTCGCTCACATCAGTAGGTGCGGGAACGTCAAGGAAAACAGAGTCGTCTGATTCTGGCAGAGTTTCTTTTGGACTTTCATCAATGCTAACAATGGTTGCAACATCAACCTCAGAAGTGGACTCAGGACCTAAAGTGAGAATAGTATTTGGAAAAAAGAAAAAAAGAATTAGTATTTCAGATAGATAAACAGTAACTAGACACAAAAGTAACAAATAAAGCTTTATAGCAAAAGCAACAATTGGTAGTAGTGAACACATAAGCGTGCAAGAGTTATATGACATTTGAATTGAGATTGAATTTCATCAAAGGTCCACGATGAATGGGCAAACATGGCGACGAATTTATGCTATTCATGATGTTTGCAGAACTTGATATCGTTCCAACATCAAATATGCAAATGAATGTAAAAAACTATAAAGTCTTCTTTTGATTGGAAAGAAAACGTTCTTTCTCCTTGGAACACATATTCTCAATATTGTTTGAGATTACAATGAAACAACTGGTTTGGAATTTTGTATGAAAAGGAATGACAAATAATGAGGTGTTTACATATACAAAGAGTGGATGAAATGAATAATTGGAAAGTAACGTATCCAATAATTCTGTTTTTAGGTTAATTTCAAGTGAAATTGATGAAAAAATATTGGATATTAAACAACATTTTGTAATGAGAGGGATTGGATGATAATGATGACAGATAAAACGATGGACAGAAAATTGAAAACACAACATATAATGGGGTTAATAACAAGAAATGTATTAGGGCAAAGCGATGATTAGGCAGCAATGAGATTGCGATGATAATGTTATAGCAATGATGGTGACAACATTTGCGATTAAGCGATGATTTAAGCGCAGTTATAAATGAATACCAGCCATTAGTGTTAGCAACACATAAATAATGAAAACAAAAAGACAAATAAGCAGCAGCCATTAACAGAAAAAAGATAAGCCAGGCCAGATGAAAGCGGAGGTTAAATGATGAATGTTTTCTGAAAATTAGAAAGAAAAAAGAATCAGTAATTAATGAAGTTTAGCTGTAAGAAACTGTTAATATTGGTTAGAATGTACAATGTATAACTGCTGTCTAGTATGTTATTCAGATAAGCAAGCTAATGTTAATCGAGCACATTCCACGAGAGATGATAGTAGGAAAAAGCATCGGAAAAACAAAATTAGATCAGGTCGATTAGAGCTTTGCAAAGAGCGAAACAAAATATTTAAGTAAAGTTTGCGAAAAAGGAGTAAGCTTTGATAATGAAAATGAAATCGAGTTTTGTTTCACTTTGAAGATAATAGCAATGAAGCCGAATACACATAGAAACTACACACATGAAGCACTCATGAGATCCTTAAAATTTAAATTTAACCTCAAAAACACATAAAGCAATAAGTAAGCAGTGAGTTATTTTACGAATAAGTTGAGCCAGTAACACAAATAATTGTTTGCGAAAAAAGCAGATGAAGAAAAGCCATGTGATAGAAGCACATAGAGAAACATAGAAGAAGATCGAAGGAGCGCACTTTTATCGATTGTCACACTTGATGGAATGCTGGTCGGAGATGATGATGATTGTGTCGATGGTTTAGGTTTATGCTGCACTTTTTGATTATCACTTTTAGCACTTGCTTCCTCGGAATTGAATTGTTCATCCTTTAGCTCGGTTGAATTTGGCTGCTTTAGTTGAATGATGTCATCAGATTGATCAGCCAATAAGATTGACTTTGATGCTTCTTTTGATTTATCGTCTGCCATTGGTAAAGCTTCCTCTGCTTCTAACAATTGTTTTGATTCAATGGTTGCTACTGTTTTTGGTGTTTCTTCAAGATTTTGTGTAGCGACTTCTGTTTTATCAGTTTCAATTGGACTTTCTTTTTCGAATGAATCTTTTTGGATAACTTCGAATGATTGTTTTGATCGTATTGTTGGTTTCACTTTTACTTTCTTTTTTTCTGGTTTTGAAATATTTTCATCAATTGTTGAAATATCTTCTTTCTCTATTACTTGATCAACTCGTGATTCAGCAACAATCATTGTTGGTATATCAATCGCTTCTATTTTACTAATTGGCGCTTTCTTTTTCTTTTGTTTAGCTTCTGGTTTTTTGAGAGCATCTTGATCTAACTCTTGTGCATCACTTGCATCTCGCTGGTCATCTATGTCTGCTTTTCGTTCTGTCTCAGGCACATCTTCTGATTCTGGTTGTGAAACTTCTTCTGCAGACATTTCAATCTCAGATTGTTCTAGTTTATCTGGCATCATTGTCAGTTCTTCTGTTTCAGGCGAAATTGGACCACGAGGAACTCTAAATATAACACGTCCAGTTATTTTAATTTTGGTGATCTTAATATCAATGTATTCGGGCTGTTCCTTAGCTTCTTCAACTTCAACAATTTTTTCTTTACTTGGTCGTCTTGGTACTTTAAATACGATTCGCTTACCAGGCAGTATAATTTTCTTTGTCTTTGTAATCGTTGGTTCTTCGATGTCTAATATTGCCTTTTCATCTGAATCAATTTCTTTTTCATGGTCGAAAGCAGCTGATTCTGGTTTTTTGACTGTTTTTGTATCATCTCTTTCAGGTATCTGAGTTTCTGAAGGTAATTTATCAGCAGTTTCAATGTCACCTTCGACCTGTGGAATTGGAATATCCTTAGGTAGCATTACCGTGTGAGCCTTTCCGATTGCATCTTCAATAGAATCTGGAGAGATATCTTCCCCTTGCGTGCTTTGATCCTCAGGAATCTTCGGAACTCTAAAAACAACTCGTCGTCCATTTGTATTGATACTTATAGATTCTTCTGTTGTTGGAATTTCTTCACTTGTTTTAGAAGATTCTTCAATAATTTCAGATGCTGCTTCTTGTGTTTTCTTTGGAACACGGAAAGTTACTTTAAATCCAGTTATTTTCACTCTAGTAACTACTGATGCAATTTCTTTAGGTAGTTCATGATCAGGAACTGATTCGATTGGTTGTTCTTCAATCGATTCTTCACTCAAATGTTTAGAAGCTCTGAAAACAATTCGTTTACCAGAAATATCAACACTCGTTGATTCTCCAGTTATGTCAGGAATAGTGGCTTCCAGTGAATCAGGAATAATATCCGATTCTTCTATTTCAGGTTTACTCATTCTTCTTGGAACTCTGAATAAAACTCTTCGACCAGTTATATTAATTGTTGATAGCTGTTTATCAGTCATTTCTGGTTTTGATGCTTCTAATGTCTCATCAACTATTTCTTCTGTTGGTTTCTCTTTCACCGATTCTTCACTCGTTATTGGCGTTTCTTCACTTGAGATTATTTCATCTTGACTGCTTCGTCTTGGAACTCTAAACACAATTCTTTTACCGGTAATGTTTACAGTAACAAATTGTTCTTTATCTTCAGATTTATCTTTCTCGACACTTTCCCTTTTCTGGACAGAATCAGGATGAATTGGCTCTTCATCAGCAACATCAATATCACCTTTACTCAGCCTTTTAGCAGCCCTGAAAACAATACGTTTTCCAGTTATCTCAGTACTTGCGATTTGAGTATCTTCATGAATATCTTCATGTTCAACGGATTCATTTGGTTTTTCTTGTTCTTTATCAGGAACACGGAAAATGGCTTTTCGTCCACTTATTTTAATCTTCGTTTCAAACAAATCAGATTCTTCAGGTAAATGTTCAATTTTATCTGTTGGCAATTCTTCAGGCTGTTCTTCAATTTCTTCTTCGCTTAAATGTTTAGAAGCTCTAAAAACAATTCGTTTACCAGAAATGTCTAAAGTTGTTGAATCTTTTAAAGGTTCAAGACTGGATTCATCTTGTGGTGCAACTGTATCTTCCTCTTGACCAGGAACAATATCCAATTCTTCAATTTCTGGTTTACTCATTCTTCTTGGTGCCCTGAATACGACTTTACGGCCAATTATATTCATACTTGATGTTTCTGACATTTCTTGAAGGGATTCTTGAGCTTCAGCAGTCTGATCAGGTATTCGTCCGCTTTCTTCTAGTGCTGGAATTTCTTCTGACACTATTTTATCTGGACTTAATCTTCCAGGTATTTCGAAAACAATACTCTTACCAGTCATATCAATTGTAGTTGTCTCTTCACTGGTTTGCGTGTTATCTGGTAAAGTGACTTCTTTTTGTTCTGGCATTACTTCTAGATTTTCTGAATCAACCAATTTATTCTTCTCTTCCGAATCATCAATTATTTTTTCAAGTTTTTCGTCTTTCGCAGTTTTTACAGCACGGAAAACAATACGCTGGCCTTTGATATCGATTCTTTCTGTATCTTCTGTATCCTGTCTCTTCTCAGCCTCTAATATTTGTTTTGTAGGTTGTATTTCCATTTCTTTGGTATCTTCTATATCGCCTAACTCAGGACCATCAGTTGGCAGTTCTTCTTGTGTTTCTGTTTGAGAAGAAACCCTGAATATGACTCTACGTCCAGGTAATCTAGTTGAAGTCGATATTGATTCGACTTTTTCCTGTGGTTTATCACTAGTTCCCATTTCTTCTGGTTTATTGATTAATGTTTCAATTGACTCTTTACTCAACTTTCTCGGGACTCTAAACACTATTCTTTTACCAGGAAGATTAATGCTCTCGGAAAGCTGAGTGCTAGTTTCTTGTTTATCTTTTTCTGTCTTTGCGTCGGGTGCCTTTATAACAATTTCTTGAATGGATTCAATACTGGGTTTCATCTTTTTAGCTGCTAATTCTTTTTCTTCCTGATTTACACCAGATGTTTTCAAATGTTCCATTGATAGCTGCACTGACTCCAAATCTTTTATCACATCTTCCGACGGAACTTTATCAGCTGAAATTTCAGATGACTCTGGTATGGTTTCAGCTTCAACCAAACTACTCTGCTCGTCAATAAATGTATCAGGGATCTTGTAAACAACTTTACGAGGCTTAGTGACCAACTGTGTGTTTTCGGTCGTTTCTGTTGGCGATTCGAAATCATCCATCATCTCAGGAATTTCACTGTCGATTTCATGACTAGATATTTTTGGTACTCTGAATACAATTCTTCGGTCTGCAATTTTAACAGCTTCAGTTATACTATCTTCAATTTCTGTCTCTGGTTTGGTAATTTTTTCTTCGACAGAAGTTTCTTCGCTCGGTA